AGCTGTGACTTCCCTCTGTCTGTTGTCTTTTCTTTTTTTTCTGTCTGCCTCTGTCTTTTTCAGAATCTCTCCTCCTCCCCCCTTGCATTTCCCTTCCCCACTGTGGGGAATTTGGAATAGCATTGACCTTGGGTCCACAGCGCTGTAACTACCTGCTGTACCCAAGGGTATGAGAACATGGTGTTATTGAACTGTCACAGTGCTCGCTAGTCCACCACATTTGTTGTTTGAACCATCACACAGGAGGGTTTCCTTATTGACTCAGGACCAACAAGGGTACTCGCATATTGTTTACAGGAGAGATGCTGTAGTTGCTTCAGATACACATACATTGTGAAGACACTCAGGAATGATCATCTCTACAAGTGTGTGTTTGGGAGAGAATCTCTCTGTTGTAGACTTAAGTGAGTACTCCTGCATGTTGACATATATTTGTTCCTGTGGTGGTCACAGATATGGGTACATCTAAATATTGCAAGTGGTTAAATTGCTGTCGTTTAGATTTTGGGTAAAATGATCTTGCTTGTTCTGTAAAGCCAAGATTTACCCTGTGGAAACATGGACAAAGTCAATACTCTGCATCACCAGGGGTGAACCCACTGAATCCAGCAAGCTAAGCTTAATGAGCTGCCATTAGCAAAACTAGGGCATCCCCCTTTGCATCCTTTATTAGCATTAGCAAGAAGATGAAACTATGAAGAGGCTAACAATAGATCCTTGTGGAATGCTTCATAAAACATGACTGATTTAATACCCTCTCAAATATAAGTAAAGAAGGACCAGAGATCATGTGGGGAGTTAAGGCTTTGAGACTATAAAAAGAGAAGAGATTGACCCCATAGTCTTATTTTAATTACAGTATGCAGATGATACGCCTTCACCAGAAATGACATGTGACCGTGACATTGTCCCCAACCGCTTTAAACCAAACCTGGTCTATGATCTGCACTTCAACATGCACTGTGCACAAAAGGCAACCTTATATGTTGAATTCAATAAAATATGGTGATAAGATTATAAGCAACTCCGCCAAAATGGTAATTGCAACTTCACTTCCTCACAGATGTTTTTACACTGGTCTGACTCTAAATCCTAACAGCACAGGGAATATTCTGCATGTCGGTGTCTTTTTTTCCTCCCTGAGAGCAGAAACAACTCCGGCTGTACCAGCAACGTCCTGGGAAGGCTGATATAGAGACGTTGGGCTGTAGTGAGCAATTAGACCCATTTTGTGGCTCGTTAATAATGAAGCATTTGTTAATGGCGTGGATGTTTCAGCAGCAGGGCAGACTGCTGGTTGCCATCAGATTAAGCCTCTCCGTACTTACACTTGTTGCAGTGTCAATGTGTGGATTGTTCATTTTTGTGTTAGTCGCACAGTGTATGTGTGTGTATTCATGCGTATGACCTTGAATGTTTGTTTCAGCCCGTGTACATGTGGAGTGTATGTGCCCACTCATGCATGGAAATGCTTTTGTACGTATGCCTGTGTTTACGGTCACACATTAACGCCCTCTTTTGTTGTCCTGGTCATTGTCTCCTGCATAATGAAGGACAAACTGTCGAGAAAGGTTGATTAGCATTCTGGCGGATCCTGCCGCAGACCCCTCTACTCTAGTCTGTCCTCCTGTCTCCCCCCCTGTCGTTTTTTTCCCAGCTTCGAAGCTGCTGCAAGCATCGGCGGGCGGGCGGGCTTATATTGCAGTGTGGCATCACCATGGCAACGGCCATGGTTTCTGACATCCATAACGCGGAGAGCTGTACTGTTGATCCATGGGACAAAAATAGCGGGTTCGGGGCAC